CGGTTACAAAATATTGAGCTATCTAGAAACAAATTTTATCAATCTCTATCTCCTAGTTATTGAGGATTAGGGGTTTGTCACGACATTGCAGCAAAAAAAAAAAGAAATAACTTAGAAGGCCTTCGAGGCGCGCTAATAACATCGCAAGCACCACGAACTCCGTGGGATTGCGAACCTTAGTCCTCGGAACCTCCCTGTAACAAGCCCACCGGTACGAAGACCGACCGCTGACTGCAAAAGGGCTCTGTGTTGGAAACGGCGACGTATCCGGAGCTGGTTGATGAGCTCCCTAGTACATTCTTGTCAGTGGCTGAGGGTTCGACAAGAGCCGGATAGCCATCGCGATCCACAAGCTGGACCTGAATAGCACCGGCTAACGTATCCGACGAGTCGCCCTTCCACTAGAAATCATGAGGGTCAGCATGTTCCCTTGTCAGGTATGAAGCGAATTTATAAAGCAGACTTCTAGGTGTTAAACAATATGTTGAAACTCCTCAAAAATCTCTAGCGAGTCCACGAGAGAGAAAAGGGCTTCGAGGTTTTCCACTCACAGCATGAGACACAATCATTGTCTGGCCAGCTCCCGCGCTGCCAATGTAGCTGCCTACAATGACGCTTTTTATATCTTGGTAGTCAAATGCTGGCAGGTTACGCCATCCACGCGTGCGGATCGTTTCAGCAACGAAGAGGAGGATCAACAAGCCATTGATGACCATGATGGCATAGATGTATTCTTTGTTGCCGATCTGGACTGCCCTTATAGCGGCGGAAACATCGGTAGCAGTGCGCGAGGTCTCTGGCTGGTCAGATCCGGCGATCATCAGTTGAGCGCTGGAATAGGCTCCGAGGATGTCGTCGATCATTGACTCCAAGGCACGAGCCATGCCATTCATGACCGCAGCCGTTCCGTTGAGCGGGGCGTTGGTTGCCACTGCGACATTGGCGATCTCTGACAGTAGGGCATCCCCTACGACCGATGTATACGAGTCCGTGTTGATCATCGACACTTGGGTTAGAGACATCATGGTCTCCTGAATTAGAACTCCTTGACCAGGACCAGTTATCGAAGAGGTTGGATCAATTTCATCGGCAGGCCCAACCGGGGTGACGGTTATCACGAGCTCATCGGTGTCGACATTGACAGAGAAGTTTCTTGGCATGAAGGTTACCTCGCACTGTATATGCTTGAGTGAAGTATATGGCCCCGATTTCTTCCCCACAGCGATGGCGACGATGCTCCTGTTGTTCGCCGTACGTCCCAACAATGCAACAATCTTAGAGTCCAAGGTCGCCTGAAGGCCGAGGGTGTAGTAGCGATCGGACATAACGTTGGCTGTGTTTGGAAGGTGGCCACTGGCCAAATACATATTTGGATAGGTGCTATGATGGAGTATAGGGCCTTGTTGGATCGTCCATGCCGAAGATGAGTTCCTGATACAGGAAACGTTGCTTTGATAACCTTTCTCGAAGTACGCATATCCCTTGATAGTCTCGGCCGCCTCCAGGGTGAGATCCATTATTCCTGCAGAAGCGCCGACACCGTATGATCTTCCGCTATAAGAAAGTCGAGAGACATCATTCTTCCTGTGTTCCTGGAGGCTTCCATTAGTAGAGGTAGTAGAAGCAGCGTTTTGGAGGATGATGCCCTGGATTGCAACACCTGGGGCGTAAGAGAAAGTCCCTTTGTCGTTTCGAGTTAGATTCGCATCTCTGAACGGATTCCAAGTTCGATTCCAGTAGAGCCCAGTGGGGTCCGAAGAATAGACTGGTATCGCAATCGACGATGAAACGATCTTGCCCGTGACCACGGGTGTTACGGCACCGGCCCACAGGGCAGGAGGAATGAGTGCCACAACACGAAGTGCGCAGAGAATTAGCCAGGAACCCAAAGGCAGACTCCAGTCCATGCGAAGAGAACAGACAGCAGCCCACATCTTGATAGTGTCCAATTTCGTCGGGCTCATCTGGAGCCGCGACCGGGAAGAAAAGTTGATCAAAGTCGTAAGGACGTAGAGGTGCAGAGTTCCAAGCGCGAATGCGACGATCTGAACGATGATCTGAGTTGTTGCTCGATTCGCGGACACGAAGTTATAGAGGCTTCCAGAGTAGGTGTTATTCTTCCGCGCGGCGACGACGAGATACAAGGCGATCACGGTTGTCACGGTAAGACATGGGACGGCCAGATATTTGGAAGAGTTGGATAGTTCACCCGCCATGCTGGCGAGTAATCGTAAGGGTGAAACTTCTTGCTGCGTTGCGACGTTAGAAGGAACTGTGTCAGTCGGATTCTGTGAGAGGGAATACCGAAGCGCAGCGGATATAAATGGGGGCGCAGCAGGTGCATGCCGTAGAAGATATGATATGACACTAAGGAGCCGCGGATGCGTCATCCCACATCGTCGAGGCTGAGGCGGAGTATATGCACGACAAGGCTGGCAAAAGGGAACCAACTACTCACAACTCGAAAACACCACCCGCTGAGACATAAACGCACAGGCTAAGGTTTTCGTAATCCGGGGGGAAACGAGCGTGAATACTTGTGGTAAGCTAAGGACGGTCTTTACATAGCTCGGTTGCGCGCTCTTCGAGTCGGTTGACACGTATAGTGTCAGCCTAGATATTGGCCCCCACTATGGAAAAGGCAATGAAGGAAAGCTTCCTGAGGGCACTACACCAAGCTGTCAGCTCGCTTTACCAACGACAGATTGTGGAATTCCTTCGTCCATGGATTTTCTATGGTAACTATGCCACTGCTCGGTTTGCTAAGCGCTGCATCATCCGTGTCATTTGGCATGGTACTTGCGGGTGTTCCGATACTAGTGGTTAGCCGCACCTTTCTTTCTGTTCTTCGATCTCGCAATCTCCCCTTGAAGGCGGAGACACAGGGAAGCAGAAAAACATCACTCTAACGGTGCGATCGCAGGCCATTGCATGGTTTCTTTACACGATAGCCTACAATCTCGCTATATGACCCCTCTCGCGTTTCCCAGGTCCAAAGCTCTGGGCAATCTCCCCCATCCCTTCCCAGCTCTCCATCCTTAGCGGCCGGAACCACTTGGACATCTCCGCGCTTCACACGCGCTACGGGCCAGTTGTCCGCATCGGCCCGACCGAGCTCGTGTTCTTCTCCGCACAGGTTTTTCGTGATATCTACGGCTTCCGCCCCGGCGGTCGGAGCTGTCTAAAGAGCCGGAGGCAGTATGTTTTGCCGCCCAATGGTGCGGACAACTTAGTGAGTGCGGTGGGCAATTCGACGCACTCGAAACAAAGGAGGCTATTGGCCCAAGCCTTTTCGGAGCGCGCGTTAAGGGAGCAAGAGGGGCTGATAAGGGCGTACGTCGATACGCTCGTGGCGAAGTTAAGGGAGGCGGCTAGGCAAGGCGGCCCGGAGCGGAAGGCGGCGGTGGACATAAAGAACTGGCTAAACTATACTACTTTTGATATCACCGGGGACCTGATGTTCGGCGAGCCATTCGTCTGCTTAAAAGAGAGCAAGCTGCATCCTTAGATTGGAATGATCTTCGGATCTATCCATTTAATAATGTACCGGCTCCTCATAGCTCAATATCCGTTAATGGACGCTGTCTTGAAGAGGTGTATCCCAAAGAACATAGTGCAGAAAGGTACTGATCCTTTCAATTTGTCTGTGCGGAAGGTAGACCGCAGGTTGGAAATGGGGACTGAGGCTTATCCAAGGCGGGATGACCCCAGCGCAAGAGTTCAGTTGGGTAACTGATCTCGCCTTCCACAGAGGTCCATGCCCAGGACGGAGCTCGCCACGAATGCGTCCGTTCAGTTCCAACCGGATCTTTGCGGGACCAGAGCATGTCGTCAATCAAGGAGTCCTCCCACAATCTCGCAACATACTTCCCGGCTCGGAATCTTTGATGCTGCCTTGCAAGACCAGATAGAGCAGGAAGCTTGTCGGTAGGATAAGTGAGATGGAGCCCGGAATAGACCTCAGTCGTTTCTCGCCACCATCGAGCCACATTCTCACTGTTCCTTGCGAGTGACCTTTCATGTTCGACTTCGCAGACACGCTGGAGACCATAAGGAGGCATGTTGTTAAGATATGAACACTCGCATTCTGCTCCCTCTCTGCACTCTCAAAGTAGCTCATCAGTACCGAAATGCAAAACCCGTGCCGCAAGAAGCCGTTCCTGAAACGCCCAAGCCCGGGTTGATAGCGGGAAACAACCGGTCGTATGTATGAAGATGATATGGAACGGACCGTGCGGTAACGTGCGACGCACATACAATCCATTGAATGTTTCTTCTGGTATTGGTACCGGGAAACCCAGAGGATGCGGGGAAGCGGTAGAAAATAAACCACCGAGGCTGTCATATGACTTAGAAGCTGCAAGGACGAGGAGGGCATTTTCGTAGATAGAGCACATCTTCCCCGATTCTCTTTCTTCGCCAGTCACTCGTGTCATCCTGGATAATGCAGAGCGAATCAATCCATAAGAAACGAATGCCTAGCTTCTTGGTGAATACAATCGCATCTCTGAATGTCGGTGGGAACTCGGAGCACGGTATGTGTTTCTTGCGGTCGTTGATATTTGTGGTCGTTGTCGTGGTCAGTTGGACGCTTCCCCAGCAGTGGCTAAGACATATGTAGGGCGCACTTTTGTTGCGAGGCTCGTAGAGCCTAATTGCGTCGTCAGTGAGGCCAAGGTCAAGTACTCTGGCGGGGAGCGGACGTGCGGTGCTGCCTGTGCTACAGTTGTGGCTTCCAATGCACTTTGTAGATGGGCCTGGGCCCAGAAAAAGGCTCTTTCCGAGGCCGTGTCCCCCGAGACGTGGGTGAAAAGTTGGGGCGAGGCTAACGCCTTGATCACACGTTTGACTACAGGCGATAAAACTCCCGAATCTATCCAGCTGATTAGAGTGTTGCACAAACCAGAGACAAACTCCAACAAATCTTCAATGCCTACAGTTTAGGATGTAGAACTCCAGGCTGTCAAGTTTGCGGCCCTTTTCACGGTCGTTTAAGATCAAATAAGCCGATAGGTCGTACTCTGATGTATGGCTCTTCGACAGCGACATGCCCCGTATGGGGACTTTAGTGGTGCGCTTGAAGCAAGTCAATGCATGGCAAAGAATGGCGCAGCGACTGCATTTTCCTGCGCCGGCAGACTCTTGAAGAGTACTGAAGGCTACATCTTTGTATTGGCGAGAAGGATAGTTCTGACATCCACACACGTTGCAATCTTGCAGAGTATGCGAGTAGGTAAGTTCTTCGCAGGGAGACATATTGGCACGTGCAATGGAGTTTCATTCTGTAGCCAGGACGCTAGTCGGGTACCAGTGTAGGCGCGTGGGTAGCAACAGAGCATAAACTAGTTGATTGCTAGTATCTAAGAAACTATATATAAGAAGCGCTTTTAAAGTTCACTAGTTTACTAAGCCGGCTAAATAATAATTAATATTAAAGGTAGAAGCTAGTTGCTTAGTCCTCTCTTATAACTATCCTCCCTCTCTCTTAGATGCGAATACTATAAGTAGATAAACGCTAGAGAAGTATAAAATACTAGGGTATTATATCCTTCTAAAACCAAGCGCCTTAAGAACTATACTATTATATCTATAATTGCTATCTTATTAAATCCTTCCTAAGAGACCCTTAATTAATAATAATAGCTTATAGACTATACCTTCTATCTACTTTCTGCCTTTATCCGACTAATTAGACTCCTTCGCCTTATCTAGCTTCTTAAGGTACTTAATAGGAGTTCTATTAACTATTAAGGGGTTAGCTTTTAGCTTCTTATTAACTATATTTCTAGGAATAGCCTTAAGAACCTTAAAAGCTAGAATCTCGCAACTAGTTAGAATTAGTTCTTTTTAGTCCTTAAACTATTCTCTAAAGAGGCGGTTCTACTCTTATAGAATGAGCGCTTATTCTTAAATTATCTTTTCTTTCTATTTTAGAATAGTGCGCTTTACCGCTTCTATCTTAATTATATACTAGAAGTTCTAATTAAACTCTAGCTTTACCTTTATCTTATTTACTCTTTTATTAATAATCTTATTCTAATAGCCGCTTAGCCGCTTTATATCTATATTAGTAGCTTCAATCTTCTTATTTCTATTATAAAGTTTAAGAAAAGCTACTCTAGCCTAAGTCGAATCGGCCTTAATATTCTTTTTAAAAGGATTAAAGGTTCTTTTCCTCTTCTTTAGCGTTAGCTCGTCGTCCTACTCTTAAGGGGATAAGAGTAGTTCTAAGTAGAATAGGAACTTACTATCTAGACTAATTAGTTAGATAATCTTATATAGTACGTAGGCGCGAGCTATTCCGTCCTTCTTAGTTTTAAAGTTATAACTACTAATTCTTTTAGGGCTATCTACCTTACTATCTATCTTAATCTATAATTCCTTATTAATTCCTAACTCCTAATAGGTGTGTTCTTAAAATCCTCCTATAGTATACTTAAAGACTACACGATCCGTAACCTATTCTTTCCTAATATATTAATTTATAAAACTCTTATGCTATTCTAGCTCCTTAGTATAAGCCTTTAGCCTATATACAGCTTTCTTGAAAGAAACTAGTCCCTAAGTGGATTATAAAATATCGATAGATTATAGGTTCTTTAGGGTAATACGCTTATAAGCTAGCCTTACTAGTAAAGATTTTAATAACTCTAGAGTATTTAGAGTAGTATAGAAGGTCTTTATATTTAATACTAATTATATACTTAAAACTAAAGAGCTGTGGACGTATAAAGTAGTAGGTAGAGGGATTATAGCTATACTAGCCTAGTTATATAGAATCTTAGAATCTTATTAAAGTATAGTATTACTAGTATCCTAATAGGTTTTAAGATTACTAGTAAGATCGTGGTAATTATATAACTAGTCTAGGAGAACTCCTAGAACTAATAGGGATATAATAGATTCTAGTATCTAAGTAGACTACTACTCGGTCTTAGTAATTAGAAATAGAGTAGTTATTATATTAAGGTAGTCTAGAGCGGTAGCTACTATACTATAATTATTATTAGCTATTAGCTCTTATAGGTTAGCTAGCTAGTAGTAAGTATAAGTAGAATCTAAGATTAGGTAAATAGTTTCGCTTCTAGTAACTTTAATAGAATAGTTTATATCCGAATCTAGATCTTATATAGTATCTTATTATACTAGACTATTAGGAGTTTCTAGGTTAGAGGCTAGTAAGTAACTTAATTTATATACTTTATAAAGTTAGTAGTTAAGCTTTAAGGACCCTAATCTATTTATAACGTTAAGAAATATTGCTATATCGTCCTTAAATAGTAATGATATCCTAAGAAAGGTATTTATTAATAAGTGGAGTTACTAAAGCCTTTAATAAAAAGGGAGTTATATTAGTAGAAGCTAGCGGTGGTGAAAAGATATTGTTCTTAAGTAAAAGGGCGCTAATATAATAGCGGTGAAGAAGTATTCAACAATTAATATAATAGTAACTAAATAAGTAATTTTATTATATATTAAAGAACTATATATCGCTAGAGATATATATATTACTAACTATTATTATTAAGACTAAAAATACTAAACTCCCTACTATTCTCCTCTCTCTATATTATTAATACGGGATAGATATTAAAAAGAGAGAATCAGGTAGGCTAAGAATACTAGTAGATATAACTTATTATTCTAGAATAGCACGAACTACTACCCTCTAAGGTAAGCTAGGGCGGAGTACTTTATTCTATATCTACTAAGCCTATTCTAGGCTATTCCGATATAACTAGCTATAGGATAACTCTATATAGTATATTAGATATATCTATCTACTATAACTAGTTATACTATATTATAGCTACGTTATACGCGGACTGTAATTAATAGATTTATAATAGAAGCTCCTCCCTTTAAGGATATATGTTCTAGATATTAGAATTTAACCTAATCTAGGCTAGAATAGCCTAAAAAACTATAAATAGAAACGCCGCTATAATCTTACTATAAAATATTAAAACTCTATATATCTTATCTAAGATCGCTTACTAATCCGCGCTAGTAGCGCTAGTATAGTTTCTAATATCTTTACCCTCTAGCTCTATCTTTCTTCTAAACTAGTGTAACAACGTCTAGCTTTAGGTGTTTTTCTACTATATTAGGTTTAGTTTTCTAGGCTCTTTCTAGGCTATCCTAGCTAGTTCTAGTGTATTCTAACTAGCTACTATAGATACTACTGCATTCTAGCTATTTTTAGATTAATCTAATCTAATAACGTTCTCTCTATACTCCGCCGCTATAAAGAAGGCTAAGAAGGATACACGCCTCTTTATTAACCTATATATTATATACTTTAGCCGTGCGTATAAGGATCTAGCCTAAGGTCTTATACTCTACTTCTATTATATACTCTAGGAAGCGGATACTAGGCTTTTTACCTTTCTCTTAGGCGTAATATACTATATCTACTACTATAATAAGGGTAGAGACTACTACTAGATAGAATTTAGAATAGTTTAAGGCTTTCTAGACCTTTCTAGCTCTTTCTAGTATATTTCT